GTTAGAACGAACAGCGCTCCCCACTAGACAACCCAAACTCTGGGTCCGCTATGTTGATGACATTTTCATGATTATCAAATGCACAAGACTAGAAGAAACCCACCAACACATAAACAACATCCTCACCGGAATAAAATTCACAAAAGGAGAAGAGAACAATAGCCAACTACCCTTCCTAGACATAGTGGTAGAACGTAAGAACAATGGGGAACTCCAGACTAGCAAAAACAGAAAGACCACACATACGGACAAGATACTTAATTATGCCTGCAACCACCCCAACACCCATAAATGGAGCTGCATCAGGACATTATTCAAATGGGCCACAACACACTGCAGCAAACCAGAATTACGCAAAGCAGAACAGGAGCACTTATACAGAGTTTTTAAAAGGAACGGATGCTCAAAAAGCACAATTCGCCATTACCTCCGCGACGGACCACAAGAAGAAGACACAACACGGCCTGACACACTTGTCACCCTACCGAACATCAGAGACGTATCAGAGATGACCACAAGACTACTCAGACCCCTAGGTATCACAGTAGCCCACAAACCAACGACCACCCTGTGACAGCTACTGATGAACGTAAAGGATCCCATACCCACAACCAAGAAAACTATCATAATATACAAAATACCACGCAAGGACTGTGAGAAACATTACATATGCCAAACTGGAAGAAAACTGACAATAAGGATCCACAAACACCAGCTAGCCACCAAGAGACACAACCAATCCCCACTGATTTCACTACACACAGACAAAGAAGGACACGAATTCGACTGGGACAACACATCCATAATGGCACAAACCAAACAGACATGCCAGGGAATTCCTGGAGGCCTGGCATTCCAACCGGAACTCCATCAACAAACACATTGAACTGGACCCAATATACAAACGACTGAAAAACAGAACCAGAAGTGATGCCAACCACCCGAGCAATATTATGATAGTTTTATTGGTTGTGGGTATGGGATCCTTTATGTTCGTCAGTAGCTGTCAGGGTGGTCATTGAGTTGTGAGCTACCCTGATACCGAGGGGTCAGAGTAATATAAATAACAAGCGGGACAGAACACCGACGCTTCACTGGAGGCACACTGATGATGTTACCTAGCAGGGTGATGAAATGTCTGCAACCAAACACACCGGCTCGCCAATCAAGTCTACAACCTCATCTGCTACCCGGGCTCCAAATCTTCTCAAAAACTTTAAATATCATAGCATTGTAAAGTGTTATTCATAAACTTCAAGATATTGGTCTCAACAAGAACCTACCTTCTATGGTACATGTCATGTGAGCTAATGCATAAGGCAGAACTCAGACCATATCTTACTGGCAATGGTGTTTCACCCACAGAAACTATATCAAGGTGGCATGTCAGTTGTGAACTGCACTGTGGATATGTTCTTTCTTTCTTTCTTTCTTTATAATCCTCCGGTTTGGTGCTTTTGTATTCTTTGTAGAATTAGGCATTTAGATTTGAGAACATTGACCAGAGCTAATTGACCAGAAAGCTATTACATGGACCTCATGGAGCTCGCTAGATTAAACTGCTGCTCGGAGTTTCACTGACCTTTCTTTCAGTTACAAATTAAATTAGACAGAATGGAATAAATTATACATTTATAACGAGAGGTTCTGGAGAGTTCTGAGGATAAAGAACAGGAACCAACGGAGTTATTAATGTTAACAAGCAAATGGGTGCTTCAGTTTGAGCTTCCCTGACATTCTTCACCAAGTTAGAAGGTTGCATTTTATTTCTTGGTAAATGGATTTAGAAAAGGTAAAGTCACCATTGTCCCAGGGAACCACAGGGCAACACTCAGATTAGAGGGAGACGCTGGCAGTAAATCTAGGCCAAGTGGCCCTGACGCAAGAACTTTGACCTGAGCACCCGCTGAATCGAGCAATCATAGAACCGTTACAGCACACAATGAAGACATTCAGTCCATCGTCTGTGCCAGCTCTCTGATTAAGCATCTTACTCAGCACTTAGTGCCATCTCCTACCTCCTCCATGTAACCCTGCACATTCTTCCTTTTTAAAGTAACTGTTTTAATCTGTACTTAATGCTTCAATTGAATCTGCTTCCATCACAGTCCTAGGTGCATTCTAGACCCTAGTAACATACTACCTGAAAGGGTGTTTTTTGTTTGGCTTCTTTTACCAAATACTCTACACCAACACCCTCGTATTCTCAATCCCTTCAAGAGAGGGTGCAGTTTCTCCCAATCTACTCTGCTATATCCTTCACCAATATCTCACTGATTATAGGCGATCTGAATATATAAGCTGCAAACTTTAGGTGGGTCATCGGGACACCTATCCCATATATTATCGATCTGTAACTTCATTCCATCCTCCTCCGACCAACCATATGTACAGGGAACTTGCTTTTTGACATAGTTATACGTTTGAAAATTACCATAGACTTTAATCACACTCTACTAGTGAAGCAGGCTTGTACCAACATAAATTTTGTCTTCTCATGTCCTATGGTTGTTTCAAGAACTGTTTTGAACCTTTTCAACTCCACAGGTCAGTTGTTGACCACATTAAATATTTATGGACATTTCATCACTGCTGCTTTTGTCTTTCAATATGATCATGCCTGTGCTGCTTCATTCATTGGGGAGATGCAGTGGCTCAGTGGTTAGCACTGCTGTCTCACAGCAGGGGGGACCTGGGTTTGATTCCAGCCTTGGGTGATTGTATGGAGTTTGCACATCCTCCCTGTCTCAGTGCAGGTTTCCTCCGGGTGCTCTGGTTTTCTCCCACAGTCCAAAGATGTGCAGGTTAGGGTGGATTGGCCATGGGCAAAATTATCCATAGAGTGCAGGCTAGGTAGATTAGTCATGGGAAATACAGGGTTATAGGGATAGGGTGGGTCCAGGTGGGGTGCTCTTTAGAGAGATGGGTGTGGACTTGATGGGCCAAATGGCCTGCTTCCACACTGTAGGGATTCTATGATTCACTTTACCTGTTTTCCTTTTCCCACTTTCTTTGGTACTCCAATTCTGTCAACCTCAGTCTTAAATACATTCAACAACTAAACATTTGAAACCTCTGGAATAGATGCTATCAAAGACTGACAACTTTGAGTGAAGAAATTTCTCCTGATCTCACTAAATGGCCAGTCCTTCACACTGAGACTATGATCCCTGCTCCATACTCTCCAGCTGGGAAACATCCTCTTGGCATTTATCTGTCCTGCCCTCTCGGAAAGTTTTACATTTCAAAGTTGTATGTTAAAATACGAATTTTAACTAATCTTGTGTCTCTTAAACAATCTGCTTTTCCACTCTTCCTACTGGTTTGGAGATGACTTCTCATTCTCTAATCTCCACAGATTGCAGGCCTTTTCTACACATTCTCTTGTGGGCTAGCCCTCTTTCCAGGAGTAAATCTAATAAGCCTTTGTTCAGCCCTGCTCTGAGACAAATAAATGCTTCCTTGAATGAACAAAGCAAAACACTACGAAGTACTCCAGCTCTAGTCTCAGTAAAGTCCTATGCTCTTCTCCAACAACCCCCTTAGAATGATAGGAAATATATCATTTGCCACCTTAGCTGCTTGCAGTGTCTACAAAATTGTTGTTTCATGCAGGCAGACATCAAATTCTTCAAATACAAATTTTAACAAATCTCTCATTCCTTAAATCTGCTTTTCCATTCTTCCTACCAAAGTGGATATTTTTACACTCCACATAAAACCCTATCTGTCACCTTCTTGCCCATTCACTTAAATCGCTTGTTTCCCTTTACAGCCTCTTTATGTGATTTTTACAATTTACTTCCTAACCTAGCTTTGAATTGTCAGCAACATTGGTTATATTAACGCTATCTCCATGTCATTACATTGTTACAGATTGAAAGCACAATGATTCTACACCTCACTGGGGTAATTTTTTTAAAAAAAATCATTCATGGGATAAGGGCATCACTGACTAGACCAGCATTTATTGCCAATCCCAGAGGGCAGTTAAGAGCCAACGACATTGCTATCAGTCTGGAATCATGTGTAGTCCAGACCAGGTAAGGATGGCAGTTTCTTTCCCAAAAGAACATTAGTGAACCAGATGGGTTTTTCCTGACAATCAACAATGGATTCATGGTCATCATCAGACTCTTAATTCCACATTTTTATTGAATTCAAATTCCACCACCTGCTGTGCCAGAATTTGAACCCAGGTCCCCAGAACATTACCTGGGTCTCTGGATTAACAGTGAGTCTATAATCCATTGAGATACCGGCTGTAAATACAGTGGAATACTGGCTGTGAAGTAGCAAGCTTATATCCTAGTGGGATACATGGTGCACTGAATACAGTAAGCATCCAGCTTGTCCCCTAGTGTGCCTTGTGGTTGCTTGTTTCAGCTGGGACAGTGTCTTTTAAGAAGGTTCAAATGAGACAACTGTCTCACTCCTGCTCATTACACTCTGTGTCTGCATTAGAAATGGTGTAATTTTAGTTCAAGGCATGTTTAGTTTTGCTTCCAAGGCCCACTGTTACTAATATCGTCCAAAGCTCACAACAAGCAGGAAGGCCTGCACTTGAGCAAACTTATTGGCAATACAGAGTTCCTCCAGAAAATTAAATTGGCATAATGAAAATTGTTTACATTACAATAGACTAGGGAAAAATGAATGAAATATTTGCTCCTGCTGATTTATGAGTCATAGAGTCATAGAGTTGTACTGCATGGAAACAGACCCAACTCATCCATTTTGACCAGATATCCTAAATTATTCTAGTTCCACTTGCCAGCATTTGACCTACATCCCTTTAAACTCTGGCTATTCATGTACCCATCCAGATACCTATTAAATGTTGTAATTGTACCAGCCTCCACCGTTTCCTCTGGCAGCTCATTCCATATACGCACCACCCTCTGTGTGGAAAAAGTTGCCCCTTCGGTCCCTTTTAAAACTTTCCCCTCTCACCTTAAACCTATACCCTCTAGTTTTCTCTGTGTATTCTCTCTGTACAGGTCTGTTCTGCCAAGTTCCTCCAGAAGCTCAATGATTCGATTGAAGCACATCAACTACCCAACTAAAAGTTCCACCTTGTTCCAAGAGAAGCTCGATTTCTCCCTATCTGATGCCCTCAACGCTGAGTTCAAGGAGACACGGACCAATGAGAAATTTGAGATGATGGAACTGAACGACCGCTTTGCCAACTACATCGAGAAGGTTCGCTTCCTGGAGAATCAAAACAAGGTCCTAGCCACTGAGCTCAACCAGATCAAGGGGAAGGAGCCTAGCCGGCTGGGGGATATGTACCTGGATGAGATCAGGGAGTTGCGACAGCAGTTGGACCAGCTGAATAGTTCCAAGGCCCGTCTGGAGATCGAAAGGGACAACCTACTGGAGGACCACAACAACCTGAAACAGAGGTATGACACTCTCAGATATGTACACCAACTGGGTTTCCAATTCCACCCTCTGCACTTACCCCTGCCCTACCTGCCTGGGTTAATACCTCAGTTGGGCAGATCACCCGGCTGTTCCAGAGCCTGTTCTAGGACAGGGTAGGGTCTGTGTTGACAGACTTTGCCTCACTAGTGAATCACCAGAAGGTGGCAATGAAAGCCTAGCCCCATTAGTCAAACTATCCAGGAATAAAAGAGGCCATTTAACTTATCATGTCTGTGCATCTCTTTGAATCAATTTCACTCTCTTGCCTTGTCGTCAAATTCTGCCAATTCCATTTCTTCAAGGTTTATCCAATTCCCCTTTTTTGAAAGTCACTGTTGAATCAGCTTCCAATTACCTGTCAGCTAATGATTCCAGATCACAACTGCATCCTAAACTGTTCTCATCTTGTCTCGGGGTCTTCTGCCATTTATTTTAAATTTGTGTCCTTTGTTCACCAAACCCTCCCACCACTGGAAGCAGTTTACCCCCAATTATTTTCCATTTGTTTTGAATGCTTTTCTGAAGCTGCCCCCTTCACACCCCGGAATATACAAGGGTCACTCTTATGTGGCGTCTTCAGCCATTTTTTTCTCCTCTTGTTATCCTTTTCAGGAGGAGCTGGGTGTGATAGCACCTTGGTCTTTCTGCTCCAGCATCTAGAGTGGTTGCCACAAGTGCACTGCCACCTCATCCCTGAAACTTTGTGCTCCATCTGAAGTGTAACTTGCAGTCTCATTCAGTCCCTTCCCTCCCCTGGAGATGGGCAGCAACGTGGAATCACCACACCCCTTCTGTTTTGGTGCTTTGACCATCTCTCAGCATTATCACATTCTCTAAATTCAGCCATAGAACCTAGAGAACAGGTCTCTAGAATTTGCAGTCTTCCTGTTCTCCCCCCTTTGGCTACACAAGGTGTGGTTCAGAGCTGGAACAGAGTGTATAAAGGGCATATAACAACACTTTAAACAGCTCAGCTGGGGATGTGGGGTGTGCAGGGCATTAGAGAATGACCTTATATGTCTGGGGCTGGCTGTATATAGCCTATATGAAATGCATTAGTCAGTGCTAATCCAGTTCCTAATGTATCTGCCACTACTGATTAAAATTATCCTAATTCAACAACAATGACCAAACTCATTCTGACAAGATGTTATATAGAAAAATAAAAAATTGGTACAGGAGTAGGCCATTCAGCCCCTTGAGCTTACTTTGCCATTCAATAAGATCATGGCTGATCACCCAACTCAGTATCGTGTTCCCACTTTCTTCCCATACCTTTGATTCCTTTAGCCCTAAGAGCTATATCAAACTCCTTCCTGAAAACATTCAATGTTTTGACCTCAACCGCTTTCTCTGGTAACAAGTTCAGCAGGGTCACCATTCTCCCTGGGTGAAGAAATTTCTCCTCAGTCTTAAATGGCTGACCCCATAAACTGTTGGCCCTGGTTCCGGACTCCCCACTGATCAGGAATATCCTTCCTGTATTTGTCCTATCCATGCCTATTTGAATTTTATAGGTTACTATGAGAAACACCTCCTTCTCCTTAACTCCAGTGAATACAGTTGTAACTGATCCAGTCTCTCTTCTTAAATCAAACTTGCAATCCCAGGAATCAGTCTGATAAACCTATCCCTCCAACAACTTTGTTTCATCTGCAAGCTTAGCAACAGTGCCCTTAGTTCCTTCGTCTAGATCATTAAGGTGTAACATGAATAGCTGTGGTCCCAACATAGAACCCCGTGGAACTCCACCAGTCATGAGCTGCCATTCTGAAAAAGAACCCTTTATTCCCACTCACTGCCTCTGCCAGTCAGCCAATCCTCTATCCATGCCAGTACCTTGCACTAAACACATGGACTGTTATCATATTTAGCAGCCTCCTGTGCTGCACCTTGTCAAAGGCCTTCTGGAAATCCAAATAGACCATGTCCACTGGCTCTCCTCTGTCTAACTTGCTCATTACCTCCTCAAAGAATTCTAACAAATTTGTCAGGCATGACCTCCTGACAAAGCCATGCTGACTCTGCTCTATTTTGTTATGCTCTTCCGAGTACTTCGTAATCTCATCCTTAATAATGGACTCTAAAATCTTACCAATGACCAAGGTCAGGCTAACCAGCCTATAGTTTCCTGTCTTTCTGTCTCCCTCCTTTCTTAAACAGGGGAGACCAAAACTACATACGATGTTCCGGGTATGGGCTCACCAAGGTCATGTACAAATGCAGTGAGAATTCCCTGCTCCTGTTCTCAAATTCTCTCACTATGAAGGCTAACATACCATTTGCCTTCTTCATGTCCTGCTGCACCTAGGTGCTTACTATCAGTGACTCATGTATAAGGACACCCAGGTCTCATTGTACCTCCCACTTTTCCAATCTGTCACCAAACAGAATATAATCTGCATTCCTGTTTTTGCAACCAAAGTGGACAATCTCACTTTTATCCACATTATACTGCATCTGCATTGGCCTACTCACTCAGCCTGTTCAACTCACACTGAAGTATCTCTGCATTCTTCTCACAGCTCACCCTCCCACCTACCATTGAGTCATCTGTAAACATGATGATTTTACATCTTAATCATGAACATATATTGTGAGTAGCTAAGATCCAAGCACTGATCCCTGTATACCTCACTGGTTATTGCCTGTCACTGAGAAAACAACCCATGTATAATACCTACTCTTTGTTTCCTGTCTGTCGACCAGTTCCCCATCCATGCCAGCACACTACGATACCCAATCCAATTGGACTTTAATTTTACATGCTAATCTCTTATGTGGAACCTTATCGAAAGGTTTCTGAAAGTCCAAGTAAGCCACATTGATTGGCTGCCACCTCATCAATTCTACTGGTTACATCCTCTCAAAATTTCACTGGATTTGTCACCTTGATTATCCTTTTGTAAATCCATGCTGATTCTATCCAATCCTGTTACAGTTTTCCAAGTCCTCTGCTGTTAAGTCTTTTGGAATGGACTCTAGCATTTTCCCTACTACTGATGTTAGGCCAACCAGCCCATAATTCCATTTTCTCTCTACCTCAATTTTTTTAAGTAGTGAGATTACATTAGCTACCAATCCATAGGAAATGTTCCAGAGTCTATAGAATCTTGAAAGATGGTGACCAGTGCATCTACTATTTCTATAGCGACTCCCAAAAGTACACTGGGATGCAGATTACTGCGGATTTATAAGCCTTTAATCCTATCAATTTCCCAAACACCAACTTCCTACTAGTACTGATTTACTTAAGTACGTCCCTCTCAATAAACTTTGGTTCTGTCTTCACAAAGCATAACATCCCAAAAATGTTGGGGAACACAAAGTAGGTAAATTGGTCTGCCGTCTTTGTTCCCCATTGCAACTTCCCCTGCTTGTGACTGAAGGGACCCACATTTCTCTTCATGAATCTTTTATTTTTGAATACCTGTAGAAGGTTTTACAATCAGTTCCCCATATTCATCCTCCTACTGTATTTTCCCCCCTCTTAATCAATCCCTTTACCCTCCTCTGTTGAATTCTATACTGCTGTAAATCCTCAGATCAGCTGCTTTATTTCTGTTTATGTCTCTTCCTTGGATCTAATTCTCTACCTAATTTTCCTTGTTAGCCATGGTTAGATGACCCTTCCTGTTTTACTTCTGTGTCAGACAGGATTGAATAATTGTTGCAGTTCCTCTGTGCGCTCTTTTAACAGTTTGCCATTACCTATCCACCATCATCCTTTTAAGTAACGTCCCCAATTTGTCACAATCAGCTCAAGCCTCATACCATAATAGTTTCCTTTTTAGATTCAGGACCTTGATCTCAAAATTAACTATATCACTCTCCAGCTTAATGAAGAATTTTATCATATTATGCTCACTCTTCCCCAGGGGGCCTAACACAGCTAGATTGCCAATTATCCTTTTCGCATTACACAATACCCAGTCAAGGATAGCCTGTTCTCTCATTGGGTCCTCAATATATTGATCCAGAAAACCATCCTGTACACAGTTCAGGAATTCCGCCTGGACGGCATTATTACTGATTTGATTTGCCTATTCTATATGCAGATTAAAGTCAGCCAACATTAAACTATATCTTTATTGCTTGTATCTCTAGCTTCCTTTTAATGCTTTCTTGAACATTACTGCTATAGTTTGGTGATCTTTTCTTATTTTCTATTCCTATTGTCTTTTTATTTTTGCCCTTGATTCTCTCTCTTCTGCCTCCCTGTATAGGTTCCATGCCCCTGCCATTTTAGTGTAAACCCTCTCCAATCGCACCAGCAAATACTCCCCCAGGACATCAGTCCCAGTCTAGCCCAGGTACATCCTGCGTAGCTTGTACTGGTGCCATCTCCCCAGAACTGGTCCTGATGTCCCAGAAATCTGAAACCCTCTCCCTCACACCATCCCTCCAGCCATGTAGTCATCTGATATATCCTGCTGTTCCTACTCTCACTGGCATGTGGCACTTATAGTGATCCTGAGATCATTACCTTTTGAGGTCCTACTTTTCAACTTGGTTCATAACTCACTATATCATTGTTTTTAGGATCTCACCACTTCCTTAAACATATTTAATTGGTACTGATGTGTACCACAACCACTGGCTGTTCACCTTCCCCTTCCAGAATGTTCTATGATGTTCTGACACATCCTTGACCCAAACACCAAGGAGACAACGTGCCATACTAGAGTCCTATTTGCACCCACAGAAAGATCTATTTCCCTTACAATTTGCTATTAGCATAACTTTCCCATACTTACCTTTCCTCTCCAAGCAACAGAGCTAATTGTGTGGCTACAAATTTGGCTGTTGCTACTTTCCTCTGAGATTGATTGATTTATTGATGTCACATGTACTGAGATACAGTGAAAAGTGTTGTTTTGCATGCTATACAGGCAGACCATACCATACAAAGTGCATCAGGATAGCAGAACAGAATGCAGAATACTGTTTTATAGCTGCAGAGAAGGTGCAGGGAGAGGGATCAGAACTGACATTTGAGAGGTCTGTTCA